AGCGTCAGCATGAATGTTCCAGTAAAGCCAATCGACAGCTGGTCAAGAGGAATCCGCCCTCGTCTTCTGGAAGAACCCACCTTCGAATCTCTTCACCCCCAACACTTTTACTCGAAATGGAAGTCAGCTGAACAATTATGAAACAAGAGATTCCTCGAAACCCAACTTCTCTTCGCATGTCATCATCTGCAATTACTCCTCATACAGAATGCTGGAAGGAAAATCACGTTTTAACGGGGCCCAGTTTTTAATCCTATGTTTATGCCATATATCAACCCATATTTTATTCCTGGATATATTCATATAAATATTTATGGCCTCGTTTTTGGTAGCAATCAACTTTCACTTTATTATATTCATATTTAGGCATTGATATCAGTTACGTAACTTGGACACGTCGCTTTGGTGAGACCGATGAATATAATTTGTCCAGTAAACTCTACGATAGTAGATGTAGCACTTGCCAGCTCATCATGATTGGATAAGAGTAGTATAATTATAATGGTTTCTTCGCTTAAACCAACGTCTCCAACTGAGAGACTATAGTTCTTCTATTTATGATGATGCCTATTCACCTATCCCTTCCAAAGAACAGTTCTTTCGAAATTAAAAGTAAGGTGACAATGTACACATCTTTTCGAATATAAATAGAGTTTCGAGACTAACAGTAAATCAGTTATATGAGATGTATTAACAATATTTTTTTAAGGTGATGAACTACTGGTAGTAGAATTTTACCACAATGTCATGAGTAGAGCTGACGTTTCTATTGAATTTTAAATAGCCTCGTCTTCCAAAAAGTTGTTCTCATCCAAGCGGGAGTGGACTGCAATTTCAACTTACTTCCATTTCGAGTGAAAGTGTTGGGTGAAGAGATTCGAAGGGCAGTTCCACCAGAAAACGACGGCCTATTCCTCTTGATAAGCTCTCGATTGGCTTTACTGTTACATTCTTGTTTACACTGTTTCCGAGGCAATCTCCTTCGATTCCGGTGAGGAGGTGCTAAGCTTTCGTCCGTCATATGAGGGACATCATCAGAGCAAGTTATCATCGTCCCAACAAAATTCAAGCTAACGAGTCAAATTTTCATGACGATGATACCTTGCTCTGATGATGTTTGTCACATGACGGACGAAAACTCAGCACCTTTTCATCGGAATCGCAGGA